CGTGGGTAAGTCCGCGCTCACGGTGCAGTTCGTGACCGGCTCCTTCATCGAGAAGTACGACCCCACCATCGAGGACTTCTACCGCAAAGAGATCGAGGTGGACTCGTCGCCGTCGGTGCTGGAGATTCTGGACACGGCAGGCACGGAGCAGTTCGCGTCCATGCGGGACCTGTATATCAAGAACGGCCAGGGCTTCATCCTCGTCTACAGCCTGGTTAACCAGCAGAGCTTCCAGGATATCAAGCCCATGCGGGACCAGATCATCCGCGTGAAGCGGTACGAGCGCGTGCCCATGATCCTGGTAGGCAACAAGGTGGACCTGGAGGGCGAACGCGAGGTCTCCTACGGCGAGGGCAAGGCCCTGGCCGAGGAGTGGAGCTGCCCCTTCATGGAGACGTCTGCCAAAAACAAAGCCTCGGTGGACGAGCTGTTCGCCGAGATCGTGCGGCAGATGAACTACGCGGCGCAGCCCAACGGCGACGAGGGCTGCTGCTCGGCCTGCGTGATCCTCTGAGGCGCCCGCGGCTGCCGCGCGCCGGCCGCGCTCTGCGCACAAAAGCCAAACGCACCCGACTCTCTAAATGTGATTTCTCTTCTTGCTTTGAGATTGGAGACGACTTTGCATTGGCCAGAGTGTCCTGGGAGCCCGGCTGGCCTCCATGGCCGAGTCCCCTGCCTCTGCCCCGTGTCCGAGGGGGTGTCCCGTCCTGACCATCGGAGACCCGGTGGAAATGTGGCTCTTTGCGGCTTGTACGTTTCTCATTGATTTTGGTTGACGCATATTTCCCCGTTGAAGCAGCCGTTAGGGCGCTGTACTGGCAGTTTGACACCAGCCAGCGAAAGTTTCAGCCTGGAAAGAAAAAAATGGGGTAGGGGAGGAAGAGGACGGGGAGAAGGTGGAAAGGGGGGGGGATTTTTTTTTTTTCTGTCAACAACCGTTTTTCTAGTTCCAAGTTTTAAATAAACGGAAGGAAGTCCGGAGAACCAAATGAAGGAGCAGGAGGAGAGGAAGAAACTTTTGTTTTTTCCTTGTTTTCCAGGAGTAACTGGAAATTAAGATCGGGTTCCTTTTCTGCCAGCTTGGAAGGGCAACCCCGTGACTGATTGCGATTCTGAGGATGTCTATGCAAAGTTGGATTCTTGTTACAGTGTATCCAATCTGAAGTATTGCACATCTGAACTGGGACTGTTAACACTGATGCCAATACAGTGTGGGGTGCCAGAAAGTGTCTGCTGATATTTGTGGAAAAAAAAATCTATTTTGTTTACCTACTGTATCAAAGGGGAGTCTGGGGGAGAACGGTAGTATTTTTTTTTATCAGCTGTGAAAAAAAAATGTTACAGATCTGCACATTCTTGTGTGTACTGTTGTGTGTGCGTGCGTGTGTGTGTGTTAGAGTTAGCTTTTTGTTCTCATTGGTTGGCAGTAACAGGTTTTGATGACTAGCTCTTTAAAATACAGTACAAAGACTTCACAAATGTGATTCAGGGCCCCCAGCACCCCTGTGTCTGCAGAGTGCCTTCAAAACTCAGCTGTTCCAGCCGGTGCCAACCTGTGAACTTCCCACCAGATCCCAGAATTTGCTGTTCCCCCAAACCACTTCCCAGTTTCCTTTCAGTAATCTTCCTGAAGGAGCCAGGACAATAGGGCCTGTTGTTTGGTGAATTTCTTTATTATTTCCAGCCTTTTACTTGTCTTGCAATGGGGTTTTTTTTCCTTTCTTTTTTGTTTTTATTTTTGTTTTGCTTCATTTTGTTCCAATGTCCAGGTATTTAGCACCCCTTTTATATTATTTTTTTAAGTTTTGATATTCTGTTATAGGGTGTTCCTCCAGAAGCCAAGAGCAAAATTTTACTGTTGTGATGTACCATGAGAATTCTAACAACTTGTAATTTTTGATTCCAGACACTCATTTAATCATTGTCTCTTCATTTTAAGATTTTTGAATACAGTTATCATTTTTAAAGAAACAAATCCAAAACTATTGTTTGTGTTTTTGTTACCATATTCGGTGATTTAATACAGTATCATGGCTGAGGAGGACAGGGGCAGGTAGGTGCATGGTGCCCCCAGGAGTGGTTTGTCAAATTTTAAAGAAAGAAGTGTCTCAGTGACAAGTTGGGTGACATTACTGCCAACTCCTTAAACATGGAAAAAAGTCATCCAGGTGAGGATGCCCTGGGGTAAGGCCATACCCTGTGATTACAAGATGAGCAGGATATTGAATCTGTTCTGCTGCCTTGGAGCAGTTTGTCTCAGGTAGGGAAGGGGAGAAACCAACTGCTAAGATGTGGAAAGTAACCATCCACCTGGCCAGGCAAAGAAGTGCTTTTAATTTTCCTTTTTTCTTTTCTTTATTTATTTCTTCTTCTCCTTCTGGTTTGTTTGTTTTGTTTTGTTTTGTTTAGATTACATCACATACAGTCAAAAGCATGCTTGGGGAAGATAAGTTGCAATTCCGATGTCTTACCTAGAAGTGTTTCCTGCAGTACATTTGTATGGGTTGTAGACAATATCCACCCTAAAGGCTTAGATTTGGAAATAGATCATTTGGTTACAAAAAGAAGAGAAAAAGAAAAAACTAAGACAAGCCTCTTGCTCTCATTACACTGTGCAGTTTGTGGACCATTTTGACCTCTGAAGTTTTCCTACTAACAGCAGGAGGCAGTGTGAGCTTTTTATTTTGTATTTTATTTTTCTTAAGGGCCGCTTTACTAATATAACCTCCATCAAATAAAAAAAGTTGTGCAACTGGCTATCGAGAGCACTTGATATACCTTAGGCCCAACAGGTGTAGATGAAATCTTCTGAAGCGTCTTTCGACAGATTTATTCTGTAGAGGAAACCAAAAGAAATTACAGGCCACAGGTTTCTTTAAAGCTGTGTTAACATATCTTGCCTTAAAATGTTGTGTCCTTTGCCCAGGTGACATCTCAGAATTCCAGCATGGACAAGGAATGGAGAGTTCTGCCTGGGTTTGGTCCTCGGGCCATTTTGTTCACTCATGATCCCACTTAAGTTTAGTATGAAACTCATTTGGAAGGCAGTGTATATACGCTAAATATAGAAATTAGGAGAGATTATTTCAATTTATGCCTTTGCAAAGGTTCATTCCTTTATTTCTGTAAATTTAGTTGCTCCTGTAGATCTAAAGTGTTGAAAATTCTGAAAACATATATCAAATACTACGTCAAAGATTTTTTTAAGAGGCATTTAGTGACTTCCTTCTGATTTTGTTTCGGTTTTTTGGAAGCCTTTTGACATAAAATGCTGCCAAGTATCTAACTAACTTAAGAAATGTATATACTCCTGACAGGGAATTTTTGAAAATGGGAAATTGGAAATGAAATAGGTTGCTGGTTGCATTAATCATCTTCACACAGGATTTAGTCACTTACATGACTAAATTCTTTATAGGTCTGGGATGGCAGGGCAGAAGATTTTAATATGCTTTTACTGAGTACTGTAAAATAAATGCTTTCTGGATTCTCAATGAAAACAATTTTGTGTGTGTGCCTGGAGCAGGAAAAGAGTACTGAGTTTTGTAGACTTCTCCGATATTTGACAAAGTTGAGAGAAATTAGGGACATTTGTTTTTAAGAATATGTCAGTTTATTTGGTGAGTAAGAACCCCTTCTGGTATTTCGGTGTGAAGAGATAAGAGCCTTTGTTTCCGCAGAAAAGTTGGGCTGTCTTAAGAGTGTTAAAGGAAGGCGGGGCGGGGGAGGGAGGAGTTTGCTGGAAGGCAGTCACCTGTCAAAACAAAAACTGGGTGGGAAAGGAACCTTTATCTTGGGGAGCAAAAGTTAACTTTTAAACTTGACCCCTGCTGTTTTTTAACAGCTTTTCCTTTTGGTCCCTGACTGTCATGAAGCTTGATGTCATTTCAAAGGATTGTTTTTCTTCTCCCTTTTGTAACAGCCTCAGAGAAGTTGAAGGTATGGGAAGTCTAACGTTTTCGTGTTGGGGAGTTACATGGTTCTTCAGTACAACAATGTCCCCCTTGTTAACTGCTGAAGTAGACTCCAGTGAATCACATTTTAGGACCAGGTCTGTTGGGGGTTAGAATTCTTTCAGTGTGTGAGACTTCATGCTGCCTGGTTTGTTAACCTTTCCTGTCGGTAGGAATCCTAAAATGCCTCATTGACTTGAACTGTTCAGGTAGTTTTATAAGTGCGTTCACCAGCATGTGATTGCACCCCCCCTTTGAGATACATTCCCGTATTTCTCACAGATGGGCTGGGAAAGTGAGAGAACCCTATATGTCACAGTTGGTCTAAAGAAATAGGTAAAAAAATGCCTGCACCTTAACTGTCATAAAAGGATTTCTTTACTTTTCACAACTAGAATAAGCCCCCTACTTACAAATATGAGGGTTTAATTTGGAGATCACCGCTGTTAGTTAAAATGAGTTCAAACACTGGTCACAGTGTCTACTTAATTGGGAAAAGCCTGCCGGTATGAATTTCGTCCTGGTGAAAATGTAGCAAAGTTTAAGTATTACAAATAGAATGTGACATTTTTGGTTATGATGTTTTACTCAGACTACTGGGAGTAATCAACGGTATTTAATTGAACACGGTGCTAGTTCTAGAAGATACACTTGATCTGTCGACAGTAGGATTTTGCTAGTTGGAGAAGGCTTGAGGGACCGTCTGGGCCAGAGTATCTCAGACTTGACCGTGTATCAAAACCACATGGAGTGAAAACGAGTCTTGGCCCTTCCTTTAGTTTCTTACCCAGTATGTCTGGGTGTGGTCTCATAATTTTCATTTCTAACAAGTTTCCAGGTGATGCTGATACAGCTGTTCCAGGGACTACATTCTGAGACCCAATGATCTAGCCCAAGCTCCGAATGAGTACTTCACTAAGAGCTACGTAAATATTTAGAGACACAGACTTAAGACCCATGTCACACATTTTAGAGTGCTGCCTACCACAAAGTCATGGCACAATCTTGGCTGAAATCTATAGCCACTGAGGACATATACCAGTGACGTTGAGACTGTAAACTGTGGAGTATGAATGGGATAGACACATTGCTGGCTGAGTGACCATTGTCACATTAGTCTGTGAACAGTTTGGTTGTGGTTTTTGGTGTTAATTCAGAAGGTAACAGACATGAATAAATGATCAGAATAGGAGAATGGCCTAAATAATCAGAATCAACATTTTCTCTCCAAAAAAAAAACCAATTTTGAGAAGAATGTCTTTGATAAAGGGATCAGTTCAAGGATTTGTCTTCTCTTACTTCAAGATTAAAAGGCAAGAAGTTTAACTTTGCTTCCTAGCAAGGATTTTAAAAAAAGAATTTGTATTTAAGAATTTAAATCTTCAGGTCATAGTAAGCACATGTGTGTGTCTATATGTATAGGGGTGTGTGTGTGTAAATACATTCAGTTTCATATCAGACTTTCCAGGAATCATTCAATTCAGTGTCATGTAGTTCTGTGGTTATCCATTCTGGGACAATGCACAGCATAAAACAATGCCACACATCTTGTCTTATTACACATCTTACTCTGCTGGAACTGTGAGTGTTAATCTGTTTTGCAAATTGGAGGGAGCAGCTATTTATATTTTTCCTTTGGTCTCAAACAAATCTCTGAGGAAATATTTTTCTTAAAATAGGGAAGTAGAAAGCACATGCTTTTTTGTCCAATTGACTAAACTTGCTATTTTTTACACTTTAAATGAATTACCTGGCAAAATTATGTATATCTAAGTTTATCACAGGTTTCAGAATGTGTGCTTGGTTGATTTGTGGTAATTGTGCAAATATAGCAAAAACATTTTTTAAAAGTAGACGAGAATATTGATGCACTGAGAATACAGGTGCCCCCAAAAGCTGGAGATTGTTCCTTGATGGTCTTAAGAATATGGTTACAGTGGAAATTGGTAAACATTACTATAGTTGATTCATTCATTGTTCAATTATTCAAGCATTTATTAAGCACATACTGTTAGCTGTGGTGTAAGGACTAATCCTTAAATAGGCGGGAGCCAGGCAAGAGAGCAACAACTTTGTGCTTTTACCACCATAAGCTGTGAGAATATATTGTATATTAAACAGTAGGAGTATATGGAAAAGCACAGTTACCTGTACCACCAATTATAACAGGATCCTTTGGGGCCATCTGGCAGGCAATAGCGTAGGTAAATTTGTTAAAAATTGGAACTTTACTTTGAAAGGTGTGTGGATATGCAAACAAAACTAGATCCCATAAGGCTGAAGTAACTAACAGGTTTGTTGCATGTGGAACCCTGTAATCTACTGCACCGTTTCCAACTCACTTTTGGAGATTAGCTAAAATTGAGTATTTAGAAATTAAGAAGTCTGTTTACTTTTATATTTTCATGTCAAAAGGAAGAAGGGAAAATGGAAAAAAAAGACTTAACGGAATTTGTTCCCTGCCTTTTTTCTTTTTTTAATGAGAAAACAGAAAAGAAAAGGACAATTCAGGTTATATTTGTAAAGAAGCGATTGTTGGCGTAAGGTCTTTGGGGGTTCCTCGTGTAAAGAAGATTCAGGGTAGAGTATTTTCTTTTAAAAAAGATAATCTCCTAAAAATGAGTGTGCCAAAGAATTAAGCTTATGTTTTAAGTTTGCTAAGCGTATAGTTGTCTTATACAGAAGCTCTTGCGCTCACGCCTTTAGTGCTTATTGGAAGAAGACAACCAGCTCAGAGAAAGAAAGGCTGGGCAGCAAGCTACGAGAGGGACCAATAACAACAGTTATTGTAAAACCTTACGAAGTGAAGGGGCTGTCGTTACTAACCTCCTGCAGTTTGCAAAATGATTTCTAGTGACTGGGGTAGACTATCTCATGAATTTAATAACATACTTCTTAAATGTGGAAAATTATAGAATTACAGAGAGCAGAATCATTCATCTGAAATAAGTAATTTTTTAAAAAATCTTATTATTATAGAACCATTTATGAGATGCAAACTTAGTATGTTTTATAGCTAAAGTAAAGGCCTTCACATTTTACATCCGAGCATTTATAAAATCTGAGTTGAGTCATGAACTCAGAATATTTTAATGTTACTTCATATTACACACGTTAATATTTCAAAATATTCTCTCTAAAGGCTAACATTATGTTGAATTACATCTCTTTCAAGAAAAGACCCTCTAGAGATCTGTACTAGTACCAGCGTAATTCTGTAAGAATATACATGTCAGTAAGATATATTTTAAAAACATATTTTAGATAGTTTTCCACTCTACATTGTAATTAGTTAAGAGAATTGCAAATGTATCTCTAAGTTGGATTTCAACATCATTCAGCCTCTAGTAGAAAAAAAGGCTTGAGGTGGAAGCTCTTTACTCTGAGTTTGGATATCTTAGCTTTACCTTATCATGTTACATGTTATTTGTCTTTTTGTATATTGTTTCATTCATCCACATTGGCTTTATGCAAACTGCTTTCTCTGTCACAAGTGTAATCCATGTTAATTGATAAAAAAAATCTAAGAACTGCTTAACTAATGGCTATATAAATGTGTCTTCCATGTAATAATGTAAAGGAAAAAGCATTTTTCACATGGTTTGAGGTCTAGACTGAAACAGATCCTACTAGTTAGAGGAGATTACCCACTAAACAGATATTACCCTTTGGTATGAGTATAGCCTATGCATTTCATTTTTTAAAATGATAAAGGAAATTTTTAAAAAATGAATTCAATCATAGGAACATTCATTTTCATATACTTAAAACAGCAGGGAAATATTTCCAGACCATCTCTTCTTCCTCATTAATCTTTTGCTGAGGCCAAAAAAAATGAGAAATAACCCAAAGACTCTTTCTTTGAGAGAATTTTATACCTTGAAAGGTGGGGCCAGTAATAAAAAAAGAAAAAAACTAATCTGGAGGGCAAAACAGTTTTCCTGCATTTTTGTACAAACCAGCTTTTATTTCATCACTGAGGAAGCATAAATAGTGGTAGGGGCAATGGAATATTTTCCTCCGTCATTTTGGCAGTGTTCCGCAGGCGGGCTCAGTACTCCTGGTGCCAAGGCAGGAGAGTGGGACAGAGCTGAGAAGGGAGTCACTGCAGGCTGAGGTGGAATCATTCCTCCGCCCACACCCTCATTCCTGCATTCTTCCAACCCTAGAGGATTTCCTCGTGTCCAAGTCTGATTCATCATGACGCAGGATTTACTGAGGCTTAGGGCTTCTGCTGGCCAGAGATGGAGAAGCCTATGGGATAGGAGGTAATGCTACTGTAATGAAGTCCACTCTTAACTCCGGGTTGTCCAGCCTCCGTGCTATTAATATTGGGGGGGGTGGATAATTCTGTCCTGTGTGTTTCAGGATGCTCAGCAGCATCCCTGGCCTCTACCCACTAGATGCCAGTGGCACCCCTTCCCACCTGAGTTGTGACAACCAGAAAAGTCTGCAGACATTGCCAACGAATTCCCGGGGAGGAGGGGGAGCGGGTGCTGCTTAACAGTTGAGAACCACTACTCTGAAACTGACTGGGTGCAGTTGGA